GTTCAAAATATTTCCATAAACTTCTTTGATATTCTTTGTGGCTAAAGAGGTGTTGCTTCCTTTCTTGTATTCAAACAGCATTACATCCTGAATGCGGGTCTTATCGTGTACCATCAGTATAAGGGATGAGACTATACTAAACCTTACACATTATATAGGTCACACTAACGTGACGTTTAGGCGGTTCCTTTAACTATTATACGTGATGTACGTTTTTTTGGGAGGTGGTTAACGAAAGTGTTCTAAAACGTGACATTAATTTCTTGACGACCTAATAGATCCTAAGTCCCATTGCCTTTCCCGGTTAAGACTAATGTAGGTGTAAAGCGTTCACAGTTTGTTAGGTGTAATGGGTGCAATGAGTGGGTTTTATTTGGGAACTCGGGACTGGAATGTACTTCTAAGGAAGCTAGTAATAGTAATGAAGATATGTAATTTTTATGTAGTTTTTAGGTTGAAGGAGAAGTTGGAGACAATCATGATTAAAGTAGAAGCAATAGATAAAAAGAAATGTCGACTGTGAGAAATGGCATCAGGATTTCAGGAGGAGTTTAAGCTTTTACATGCAAGGGATACATCAGCTAACAATTACTTTCAGGAAGTTAGAAACAGTACTATTACAGTAAAACGTAGTGAATTTTATTATAATGAGCCTATTCTGTTGAAAACAGATTTCAGCCCTTGACTTCTGCAGATGAGGAACTATTAGAGGGAAGGAAAACAAAAGGGCCAGAGAAGGATGTGGATGATAAGAAGGTTATAGTTATAGGCGATTCCTTGACAAGGCAGGTCGAAAGAATAGTCTGTGGGGTAAATAGGAAGAAAATAATCAGATTATGCTACCCAGGGGCACAGGTGGAGGATATAACTGACAGAGCAGAAGATATAATAAAGGGGGCTAGAAGAGATGCAGTTTTTGTGGTGCATGTAGGGGGCTAATGATGTAGGGAAGGAGGGTCAGAGGAGTTAATTAATAAGTACAAGGGGTTGATTAAGGCATTGAAAAAAAGGGCCATAACTTTATTTTGTCAGGGATACTCCCCAGATTAATTTTGAGGATGGAGTTATAAGTAGGTCACTAGGGCTAAATGCTAGGCTTAGGTTAGTATGTAAGGATGAGCAGATTGGCTGGTTGGACTTGTGGGATCAGTTCAGTGGAAGAAGGGAGCTTTTTACAATGGATGGGTTACATTTAAATGGAGTAGGGGCTGGCTTGTTTGCTAAGGCTATTAACTCAGCTGTAATGGAAGTTATAAACTAGGTCTGGAAAGTGGTAAGGGCCAGGAAAAATTGAATGCAAAAAGAAAAAGAGGCAGATAAAAGTTTAGCATAGCAAATGAGTATAGAAGTAGTTATAAGGATAGGCTTAATTGTTAATATTGTAATGTTAGACGTATAATAAATAACATAGATGACTTTAGAGCACTGGTAGGAATAGAAGATTCTAATATAATGGGAATAACTGAAACATGGTTAAACGTAGATGATTTTTATGACAGAAATTTTTTTGAAATACAGGCTATTTAACAGGGATAGAGTATTAAAGAGAGAGGAGGAGTGGCTTTATATGTTAAGTGTGAGTTACGTCCTGTTGAAGTTGAAGATATTAAAAATATCAGAAAAGAGATTGAATCCATTTGGGTTTCTATTAGTGGATATAAAAGCAAAAGGCTTTTAGTGGGAATTTATTACAGACCACTAAATGATACTGATGAAATTAGTGAGAAACTTTACAATTAGATCAAGATTTCAGCTGTTAATGAAGTCATAATTATGGGTGATTTTAATTTCAGGCATATAGATTGGGAAATTCTAGAGTCAAATCATGAGGGAGAAAGGTTTTTGGAAACTGTTCACGATGGCTTTCTTCACCAGTTAGTCAAAGAACCAACTAGAAACAATGTTATTTTAGATTTATTGTTAACTTCAAATACTGAAATGATTGAGAGGGTGGAAATTGGGGAACATCTGGGTGCAAGTGATCATTGCTCTGTTAGGTTCGATGTTTTGCTGCATATGGAGATAAGGAATAATAATATTTTGGTTACAAATTTCAAAAAGTAAATTTTGAATGTACACAACAAGAATTATCTGTTGTGAATTTGGCAGCTGAGTTATTTGGAGACAGTTATCAGATGTGGAAAAATTTTAAATATTCTAGGTAAACATATTTCTTATAGAAAGAAAAGGGTAGCTGCAAGTAAAAAAACCAGGTTCGATCACAAAGAGTTTAAGAAATAAAATTTAAGAAATTTAAGTTGACTGGTGGATTTAGAAGATAAAGAAAGTTGGTGAAATAGGAAATTTGAACATCAAAAAGGATGTATGAGAAAAGGCTGGCTGAAAATGTAAACATTAACAGTAAGGATTCCTTTAAATACATTAAGGGTAAACAAAATGATAGGATAGGGATAGGACCTTTGATGGATAATAAAGGAAGGCTAGTATCTGATGATTATGAGATGACTGGGTTATTAAATTTTGCCTTTTCTTCTGTTTCTACTAAAAAGATTTAAGCAGTATTCCTCATCTTGAAAAGGTGATAAATGGAATTGAGTTCAAACAAGATGATTGCATTAATTCTCATCTGGTTGAGAAAAAATAGGGAAATTTAGAAAATGATAAGGCTCCTGGACCAGATAATATTTCCCCAAAGGGTTTGAAGGAGGTTAAAGATATGTGAGCCACTTACTACTATTTTTGTCAGTCTTTGAATTGTGGGCAGGTACCAGAGGATTGGAAGTTAGCTAATGTAACTCCTCTTTTCAAGGGAGGTGATAAACATTGTCCCAGTAATTATAGACACATTAGTCTCACATCAGTTGTGGGAAAAATTTTGGAAAGTCTGTTAAAAGATGCTTTGCAAAGTCATTTAACAAAGTTTAGAATTTTATTGGATAGTCAATATGGTTTCACTAAGGGAAAATCTTGCTTTACAAATCTTTAACATTCTTTGAAAAGGGCACTGCTTATGTAGATGAGGGTAAGGGTGTAGATTTGGTGTATCTGGATTTTCAGAAAGCATTATACAAGGTGCCACATAAAAGGCTTGTAAAACAAATTATCTCTGTATGTGTGGGAGATAAGTTAGCAAATTGGATAGAAGTGTGGCTGGATGGAAGAAAGGAAAGAGTTGTTACAAGTGGAATTCAGTCAAACTGGATTAATGTCACAAGTGGGGTACCTCAGGGCACAGTCTTTGGACCTTTTCTCATTTTGATTTACATCAATGACATAGATGAAGGGATAGTCAATAAATTACTTAATAGTGTCACGAAGGAAAGTGATTTTGGTGTAATAGTTGATCAGTCTCTAAAGCCATGCTAGTGTTAAGGAAAATAGAATTTTAGGTTGTATCTATCGAAATATTGAATACAAGTCTAAAGAGGTTATAGTTTCATTGTATATGTTACTGGTTAGGCCACATTTAGAACATTGTGTTCAGTCTTGGGCTCCTTACCTTAGGAAAGTCAATGAATTGTTGTGGAGGATTCAAAGAAGGGTTACTAGAATGCTGCCTGGAATGGAGGTATTGTCATACGAGGAGAGGGTGAAATCTCTCAAATAGTTTTCTCTCGAAAAAAGAAGAGTTAAGGAGGATCTAATTGAGGTGTTTAAGATTGTAAAGGGAATTGATAGTGTTGATGCATCATCTTTTTTCATATTTAACAGTGAGAATAGTAGGACTAGGGGACACAAATATAAATTTTGGTAAGGTGGGAGTCATCTTCAGCTAGAACAGTTTCACTTTTCTAACAGGGTGGTTGGCCTTTGGAATGGGTTGCCTTCAGATGCTGTAGAAGCAGTAAATTTAAGTGAGTTTAAGAAAAAGCTTGATTAGTATATGAATGAAAAGGGCTGGCTTTAAGATTTTGTTTTTAAATTATTTTATTAGTTTAGAGGATGGAACAGCCAAGATGGACCAAAAGGTCCCATGTTGTTCCAAAACAATGTTATGTTGAGCTCAACCAATAAGTCACTACAACTGCTCTATGAATGAAGGAATAACAAAAAAGGTGGATGTAGATATTATATATTAACCATTGTTAGCTTAGTTAGGATTAAACTATACTATACTTAACTAAAAAAAATGTATATGGCCCAGTGTTAATATATCTCTTTTTGAAGTTTTTTGTATATAGGCCTAATATCAGTTAAGGTTTTATGAAGTACGACCTAAATACGAGTGGACTTACAAATTTCAGTGTCTACCATTACATATCGTTCATAGTATTCTACAAGTCTTGTATTTAAAGAAATGCCATTGCAATAAAGATACTAATTTGACAGCAAACGTTTTGCGGGTCTCTGCTAGTAGTGAATATTTATATAAGGGAGAACTAGATATAGCAGACGTAAGGGGGCGTGAATGACTTGATAATTATAATTTCACTTGAATTTGAACCAACTTACCTCTAGTTTAAAAGATAAGGTGAATGAAAACGAGGTTCACAAACATCTTAAAATTCTTATTTTTGAAACTTCTTCATGACCATACTAGTTTTTACAAGTTTTCAATACCACAAATATAGCCGTTTATATTGGGACACAACAGGAGTGATAGCTTGATTCTTCGTTTCTAATGTAATAGAATATTAACTCCTTGGACTTTGTATATAAACATCTCCAAAATTAAATTATAACAGTGAGAGCCACAAAAAGTTTTGTGTTCATACTGTTGCTGTCAGGGCTTGATCCCAAAATGGCTTATCTTCAAATCATAACCGCATCCATTTCATCCAGTAAAATTGATTAAGCATCTATTTTGGTTTTCCCGATGAAAATCATGCTCATCACTACCACAAATCAATTAATATTTTCAGTATTTCATACTTATTTGAGATATTATCTTACCAGAAACAGTATTTATTCACCTACCTTTTTGGGCTGCTACTTCCTTTCCTTGGTAAATCAAAATGTATCTAGGTGATTCTGGGCACAAGGGCATTGAAGCCAACATAAAAATTGATGGAATAACTGTCATGCCTGGAAAAGGTCAAAAATAGATTAGGTATTTTTCTTCAAATCAAAATTACACTACTAAAGTGGATTACAGTGGAGGATTATATGTTGGATTGCTGTCACACAAGGTAATCAAGGTTCCGTTGTTTTTGCCTCTTAAACTCCTAGCATAGCTCGTGCGTTACCGAACTTGATTGTACACATTTATGTGTTTGAGCCACTTTAGTTTCGAGTCGTAAGTTAAACCTAAGAATTTCGCTGATACTACAGTTTGGAGAAGTGTACCGTTTATGTATAGTTCTGGTAAGTACTGTGAATACGACTAGTTGGTCTTTCGAGACGTTTATTTGGATGAGATATATTTGGCAGTATTCTACTTATCCATATAATTGGGGTTGGAGATTTGTGGCTGCTACTGATGGGGTAAGGACACGTTTCCAAATTATCATCGGATATATATGGCAGTATTCTACTTATCCATATAAATGGGGTTGGAGATTTGTGGCTGCTACTGATGGGGTAAGGACACGTTTCCAAATTATCATCGGATATATATGGCAGTATTCTACTTATCCATATAATTGGGGTTGGAGATTTGTGGCTGCTACTGATGGGGTAAGGACACGTTTCCAAATTATCATCGGCGAATTGTGATGAGTATCCGTAATATGGGTCCGTCTATGGACATGTTGTTAACATACTCTACGTTCTCTATTTTCATACGTTTCTTAACAACTTGCAAACGCCATTAGGACATCCCAAAATTTTAAAACTATAAACCGTTATCTGCACAAATCTCTTGCTTATTTTTCGTGTCAACGTCGTCTTGAGGGTCGCGAGTTCTAATCCCCGTCACACTAAATATACTCGCCTTTTCAGCCGTGGGGACGTTATAATATGACGGTCAATCTCACTATTCGTTGGTAAAAGAGTAGTCCAAGAGTTGGCAGTGGGTGATAATGAGTAGCTGCCTTCCCTCTAGTCTTACACTGCTAAATTAAGGACGGCTAGCGCAGATAGCCCTCGTGTAGCTTTGCGCGAAATTCAAAAACAAACAAACAAACTCTCACAGATAGTCCATTGTGTAGCTTTGTGCATAATTCCAAGCAAACTTCTCAACTGTATTAATGAAAAGACGAAATTTATTAGTAGATTAACAGAAACGCTTTAACAACACAAATTTCAACAAATTAGAGTCTCTGATAAGGAAAAGTAAGTATTTCTATAGCTCAGAGTTAAAATAAAATTATACAATTTGTTTTAAACGAAAGTCTGTAATCTGTTTGACATTCACGGTGAAAATTAAAATTGTTTTTCCTATTAATTTACTTGGGAAAATTATTTTATAAAATGACAGAGGGCACTGTTGTCTAAATATAAGCTAATAATGCCTGCGCTTTGAATGAAAAAAGCTAAATAATATATTATTAGTATTACAACTTACAGGTAAATAGTATTTCTTCAACTACATTTTTATGTTCTCTGACTACATAACTTTTACTCAAGGGTTTAAAACATGAACATTGTTAGTAGAATATGACAGACGGAGTTGCAATCAAGACAAGGCCGATGTTCCGTGTATCAATCATTCATAGTATGTTGTAGTCGTACACGGTATACTATAGGACCATCCACGTAGAAATAGAATCTAGAAGTAGAACTTAAAATTAAAAAGTAGGAATGAAAATTTATGTAAGTTGTAACCGCATCTTGACATACTGATATACCACTAATACTACTTTCTCATGTCGGTGCCCTTTTACTAAAATAAATGTGTTGTTGCTAATTGGTGAGACCGCGGCTCATACATCCTCTACATGAGCTCATTTTAACTTAAGCCTTAACTTACGGCTTCAGCGTTCCTGAGGCTGAACATTGAGCAAGTTTTATTTATGAATATGATATAGGTGAATAAGTAAAGATGGTAGACATTATAATAGAAAAACCATCATGTTAACTGATTGTTTCGAAGATAACACTATTTTGTTTTTAATTTTAGTCATTGAGGAATAGCTGATAACATTAGTTGAAGCCAACTCATTTATTTATCGGTCACGTAAATATTACTTCTCCATGTAAATTGTAAATATGGTGAGTATGAGCCCAATGCTAGTTTTTGCCTTCTCGACGTTTTTCATAGAGCCAAACCTTTATCAATATACATTTACTTGTTACTGATAAAAATAAGAACTTCAGTGGCATAATGGAAAACAAAAATCAGACGAATGTCTTTACACCTTAAAGGCTTAGTGAGTCTTACCAGTACCACATTACTAAACATTCCAGTACTTGTGACATGTAACCATAAATCTGCATTATCTTGAATTCTTCATTCTGTGATCATAGGAGTTGGTTGTAAAGTTACACAAACAGCACTCACTTTAAGCAATGAAAATTCTCTCAGTAACTTGTAAGCTATTTGTACTTGTATTAGTACTGGTAGTATGATGCCCATATTTGGGATATTATCAGGCTTAACTAATGTAACTTTGAATTATCCATTGATATGGTACCATTAAAATGTCAGTATTTATTTAATTTTTTGTTTTCTTACTAGTTCATTATATTGCTTTTAATTAAAAATATACTTTTTATATTTTATTTAATTTTTTCAAGCAGATGGGGACCTCCTCTCACTATTGACATTTTAAATATCACGGTATGGCAGGTTATTTAAGTCGATCAACATCATTGAGTCCATTAGAACCCAATCCTCCCAGTCTAGAAATATCTGGATCACCCCCCACCGCAAAGACAGAAATGACCACCGATGTTCGACGAATACCAGATATTGGTGGCTCACCACTGAAAATTTTTGTGTTAGCTAAAAAGAAAATAAATGATGTTTTCGTTGGCATTCAAAGCTACGTAGAAGAAAGTAACAACTTTATTTCTAGTAAGTATATTGTTATTAATAAAAAATGATTCAGTTTTACCTTATTCTTTATTTTTTACTTTAATAGGTTTCTGATAAAGTCTACTTTATTGTAGTTAATGGATGTTTTTGAGTAATTTTGATTTTAACAAACTTGAGGGATGATTCTTATGTTTTTAAAATGTCATTGAGGATATAGAAACTGGTAAAAACTGCCTGTGTGATAAGAGTATTACCTTTATTAGTGCTGTGGAGCGGTAAAACAATTAAGTGTGTTTGTTGAGAAAAGCTGTAATGAGCATATTTAGTTGTACTTTGGAATTGTTTCATCAACAGACATTTTGAGTTTAAAGAATGTAGTGTTTGCTGTTTCTTTTTGTATTTATGACTAACTGAGTTCATTTGGATTAGTGTTCAGCTTTAATTTTCATATAGGAGTGTTACTGAAGTGCTGGAAAGAATACAAAGAAAGGCTTTGCGAGTAATACTACTAATAGTTAATTTGAAAAAAATTGAGTCATAAGGAGTAGCTTAAACATTTGTACTTGGTTTGGCAGGGTGACTGAAGATGTATAATTCATATTATCAAATTGTCAGAGGCTTGAGTAGACTACAAAAACCTGTTTGGCAGGATGACTGAAGATGTATAATTCATGTTATCAAATTGTAGGAGGCTTGAGTAGACTACAAAAACCTGTTTGGCAGGATGACTGAAGATGTATAATTCATGTTATCAAATTGTAGGAGGCTTGAGTAGACTACAAAAACCTGTTTGGCAGGATGACT